GGGACGTACTTGCATGTTTGGTGGAGTTGTCCCAGATTGCAGCCGTTCCGGGAATCTGTATTTGAAATGTATAACCTCATATAAAACACAAAATGTAGAAAAAGATCCCTTAATGGCCATATTATCACTGTTACCTGGATCCGTAAAACAGATAAAAAGTGATATCTTAAGATTTATGCTGGCTGCGGCCAGAGTCTGTATCTCGCGGAGATGGAAATCAACAATACCACCAACTTTAGAGAATTGGGTTAGTTCAATGGAAGAAATAAGATATATGGAGACATTAAGTGCAAAGGATACAGATAGAAAGGACAGTTTTAATAAGATCTGGAGAAATTGGGTAAGCTATAGACAGTCTGAGGAATATATAGGGGTATAGAGAAGATGAAATTATGAATCTAGAGATGGGTAAAGATAGGTGTTCCTATAAGAGAGGTTAATGGATTAGGATGGGAAGGACTTACAAGGGGTTACACGAAGAATAGGACCACAATATTGAGGGAAGAGTAGATTAGAGGAAACAGGGGAACAACACAATAGCCAATATATTTGTCCATAAGACATCTTAGTAGAACACATGGTAAATAGACACTAAAGAGGAGTGGAAGAAGTTTTGTTCATAGAGGCAGATGGGGAGATATATATTTTTCATAGAGGGCTAAGAGGGAGGAATAAATATAAGAGGATTACAAAGGTGGTCTTTCCCCCCATCCCTCCAGAAAATGAAGAATAGAAAGAATGGAAAGATTGGATTAAATGAAAAAAAAAGGGGAGGGAGATTTGGCAAGAATTTAAGTGAGCGGTTGATGTATGAGGTATCTGTGGGTTTTGTGTTTGATATCTGTTGTATAGAATGTATTGTATAGATTATGTTAAAAAAAAAAAAAAAACATGTGAAGGAAAGACTAGGTGGTGACCTAGCACATTTGAGAATCAAATACTTTAATGCCGGAAAGCTCAGGAAGCACTTACAGATCTTGTAGAGTGCACCTTGACTGGAAAAGGCGGGCTTCAAAAATGAACTGCCTGAGCCACCAGGAAATGGTGGAAAACAAAGCAGGCCATCCTTTAAAGGGCTATTAAACCCTCAGCTTTTTTTGCATATATCTACTGCTAGCCAGCAGTAGATATATGCAAAAACCTTAAAAAAAAACAAAAAAAGTTTTACAAGAGGTTAAAACTTACCTGTGTATTCGCCGCGCGCTACCGTCCGAAAATCTGAAAAATCTCGGGCGGCCACAAAGGATCTTGGTGCGGCGCATGCGCAGTTCAGATTTTCGGCTGGGAGACGAGGAGAGACACAAGGTAAGTCTATGGAGAGTGTGCAGACACCGTGTGTCACGGATACCGGCACAGGTGACCCCACACAGGCAGACCAAACATGCATGACCACATGGACCAGGCAAGTTTGTGATATATGTATAGGTTGTTTAATATACACAGCAGACTAACAGCAACAACCAACAACAGGGCTCACAGGTAACAGGGTTCAGGAATCACAGGTAACAAGGTTCAAACAGGGTTCAGGAATCACAGGCAACAAGGTTCAAACAGGTTTCAGGACTCACAGGAAACAATCCGGGTTCAAAGTTCAGGACTGGGATCAGGACTCACAGGAAACAATCAGGGTTCAAGGTTCAGGACTGGGATCAGGACTCACAAGAAACAGGAAACAATACTGAGCCATCATCCTGACTGCAGGGAGAGTTTAAATATCCTCCCAGGAAGCACCAGGTGATGGCTAAGTACTGGCAGCTGGGAGACACCCGCAGGTGAGCACTGGAGCTGCAGGTCCCAGCACCACCCAGTGGTGGTCTGGTATCTAGCAGTTCCTGGATGCCTAGAGAATCCTGCAGGTGAGCCCAGGAACTGCAGGGCTTAGCTCCAGCGCCACCTGAAGGCGCTCTGGATCCTAACACCGTGGGAAAGGAAGTGCCAGCAAGCACAGAGGAGTCAGCGCTGGATCGGAGACCCGCGGCAGAGCTGGAGGGACATCTGAAAACGACTGGAGAGAAGAAGATCGGAGTAAGAGACATCATTTAAGGTAAGTGCTTATACTACCATTGGGGGAGGGCAAAAAAAATATATACTTTAATGTCACTTTAAGTAAACCCCCTGGAATGACAGAGAGAGAGTCAGTCTGGAGTCAGAGGGGAGATGTACGTAGCTGATCTAGAAGATTTGTTGTCTGCACACCTTTCTGCTTCGGAATGTCATCTTTATTTTTATTCCTTTAGCATGACATGTGAATGCAACATTTTGGAACCTCACAGGACCCCTTCGTCAGGCAAAGTGTGTTGCTGGACACTTTGCCTGACAAAGGGGTCCTGCGAGGCTCCGAAACGTTGCATTCACATCTCATGCTAAAGGAATAAAAAACAAAGATGACATTCCAAAGCAGAATGGTGTGCGGGCACATAGATTATATACTGCGGCTCCATCCACCAGTTGTTCCAGCACCCGTTGGTTTCTGGGGTATAACGGTACAGTGTGCGACAGGGATATTACAAAGACATATGTACATAGCTGAGAGACAACAACAGCTCTAACCACATGGAAGTAATGGAGGGATATCTCCTTAGGATGAACCAGAGGGTCATTTAGCCCTACATTTAATAAAGCACAGCATTGGCAAGTTCTAGTGTGATTTACAGTAACACTATAAGGTAAGGTGCTATGTATTGCACATATAAAATATATAACATTTGAATGCACTTGTGCAAAAGACAGAAATATGCAACATGCAGAGCAGATGAAAGGGGAGACTATGACCAAACATGGGGTACTGTTTTAAGGATGCTATGACAAATTGGTTCAAAGTGCCTGAAGAAATTGCAGCCCATCTCCCCTTTTCTCACTCTGAATGCTGCTGTTGTCTTTCTCTGTACAAGGGCATTTATATACTAATGTGCTCTATGTTAACTTACAACCTGCCAATTTTGTGAAGATATCGAACACTGATTCTATAAATTGTCAAATGTTTTGCAGTTTTATATCTTTTAGAATGTGTCACCCCTTGATATTTTATTTATATTAGGTATATTTACAATGCACTTTTTCATTCTGTATCACTTCATCAATATAATTTCAAGTTTCATTATTGTGCTTCTTGCATTATTCATATAGTTTCTTTTCCTAGTGGATGATAGCACATAATTATCACATATTAATTTAGGCACTGCAGCTTTTATAATCATTATTTTGCTTGGTTTGCAAGTCTTACAAATACTTATCTTTAATTGTTGCTCTACCAGGCTTCACCTACTGTGACACTGCAGATAAAATTTCTGGCATTCACTCATTGTCTTAGGAAATATGCATCTTTACTGATTGCTCTATATAATTAATGTTATAAAGAGAAAAAGATTTAGGTCTGATTTACTAAAGTGTGAAATGGGGTTAAATTAAATGAACAAGCATCCAGTTATGCTCATTTGAGTGAAGTACAACTAAAGGCTTCTTTGTACAAATACCAGAGGAAGTAAGCTTTTAATAATGTCAGTGTGTAAACTCTTTTCATGAGAAAAAGGAGATTAAAGTATTGCTGCCAATAATACTCTGAGTAGTCTTCACTGCCCGCTGCAGTGACTGTTTATCTGCAGCAGAGCAATTTCCATACCAAACAGTAATGAAAAAAGTAAGGTTGCTCTCCACACACCTATAAAATGAGATAAGGGCTGAAGTACCAAGGCCAGAACCCTTCAATCTACTCAAAAAGTTAGGGCATTCATAGGCCTTCTTGAATACGTCGGATGTATTAGGTTATCAGAGACGTGCACCCCCAAATATTTAAAGCAGGGGACCATATCAACAGCTCAGGGGCGTAGATAAGGGGGGGATAGGGGGGTCCTGGCAGTGGCTAGCGAGGGGACGGCAGAGGGGGGCACGTACTCCCGGCCGTTTAACAGCGTTCTGAAGAACCCATCTAAAGGGACTCCAGGGAGCAGACGCCGATGTTTTATCAAACAGGACATCCCCGCATCCCTTCAGATGTGCCTGGCCCTGAATGATATGTACATGTCGGGCCCTACAGGAGACAGGGTGTCCTTCCAGTGATCAGGGCAAATCAGGAATGGGCCGGGGGGGGGATGGCGGGGACAAGTTAAAGGGGTTTTAAACCCCCCGGTTTTTTTGCTTATATCTACCGCTAGCAAGTAAAAAAAAAAAAAAAAACGTTTGATGATGAATGAAGATAAGGCTTCTTTTGTTTATGGCATAACAGAGTCCAGTTCTCTGTGTTCTGCTGGTGAGCTTAAAAGAGGGCTGGAAACAGAAACACAAGTTAAAGATATGACCATCTTTCAGTGTATGGAACCAGTGGCTACTGGTGACCACCATGGTGGGCAAGACTAGTGCGTGATTTTTCAGACAAACAACTCGTGATGTATATATATTTCCTGAATAGATAAATATGGTTACATTTCCCATATTCTAGGCTCTATTATTTAGGAAAGGGACGTTGTCTGGTACCTGTAAAACCTTGGAACTTGGCTGCAGTGGCTTTATGATGAGCTGTTTTCCCATAGGGTAAAGAACTTTCTCCGAATCAGGGCCCCAGGCAACAGAATATATTGGCAAACCTACAAAAGTGTGATACAATACAGGAGGAGTTTATCAGAAACCGTTTTCTTGTATATAATTATTCTAAACCCCCCCCCCAGGGAAAAAAATTATCTACTGCCCTGCAACAGCTACACCCCTGATGTAGAACGGAGGTGGGGTGCCTGTCATCTCCTTTGTCTCCTTTATGTTAATGAAGAGATTGTTAACTTTGCACAAGACTTCTAGATTCTCCATTTCCTGTATGTTATGTACATAGACTCATCGCAGTGAGAGTTGAGTCCCACTACTGCCATATCATTGGAGATTTTAGTGATTGGGTTTATATATAAAAAAATAGGACATCTCTTGCCCACTAGTGGATGCTTGAAACAAACACAGGTACTTGTTTGTTGTACACAGAAACACAAATGAGGTCCACAATCAAAGCTATTTTTTACCTTTATGGTTTCCTTTATCTTCTTCCGTAATTCCTGCAGCTTGCTACGAAAGTCGCTGGCTGTCAGGTGTTTTTTGTCTTTCCCACTCTGGTTCTTTCCCTGTATCATAATTGTTTCTCTGCGAGACACTACAGCCTCTGTGTCTCGGATCATCTTCTCCTGCTGCTTCATCAGCTGAGCATAACGTACCTGGAAACATACAAATAAATGATTGACTTATTATTTTTATATATATA